CTTACCAAATTACAGACAAAGTGGTAGGAAATTATCAATGGTTATTGTTTTACATATTGTTATCTACAAGATAGTTTCTCAGGAAAACAAATAGACAAATAATAGTGAGTTACAGACAAAAGTGGTAGGAAATTATCAATGGTTGTTGTACTACACTTTGGTATCTTCAAAGTATGCCCACTGTTTCTCTTGTTATTAGTGTGTTATATTTGAACAATACATTTGTTGTAATTAATGAACCAGTGCTATTACATCATTAATAAATTCTATAATTTATTCACACTGCCTTAATTTTTACCTAACATCCTTTTTCTATTCCAGGACACCATCCAGGATACCACATACACTTAGTTGTTATTTTTCCTTAAACTCCTCTTGCTTAGGAAAGCTTTTCACACTTTTCTTGTTTTTGATGGCTTTGGAAATTTTGAAGAGTGGCGGTCAGATATGTTACACAATGTCTTTCTCTTGGAATGTGCAATGATTTTGTCAAGATTAGAATGGGATTATGGAATCCAGGAAGAAATTACAAGTATCAGACGTCTTTTTCATCACATCATATTAATGGCACATATGAGCCACATGATTTGTGACCACTGATACTGACCTCACTTGGTTGGAGTAGTGTCAGGCTTACCCACTGGAAAATTACTTTTTCCAGGCCTTTCTTACTGTTTTTTTTGTTTTTTTTTTTTTTTGCAAGGTAGCCAGTACACACAGCTCAAATATAAGGAATGAGGAATTATGCTCTTGTTCCTTTAGAGTGGAGTGTCTACATAATTTATTTGAAGTTTTACATGAGACATTTGTCTCTTCTCCCCAATTATTAATTTATTCAATTATTTGTTTATGTCAATGTGGATTCACAGATATTCATTTTATACTTTGGGTTGTAATCCAATACTGCTTTATTTTCTTGCTCAAATTCTTCACTATGAGGGGCTCTTTGAGTTTTTTCCTGGGCCATTTTTACATCATCTCCAAATATGTGCATGTTTTTATGTGTGTTTTTCATAGTGATATTTTTAAAGCACTTTATTTTCTGAAATAGGATCCTTCAGACTCATCTTGTATATTTCATGCTCCTGTCCTGGAATCAGCTGTTTTTTCAAAGAATCCCATCTTTTTCACTGAAGAATGGTGTTAGAAACCAAGATCTACACAAGTTAAATATGCTTGTTGCTACTGAGAGTCTTACTACTTGGTTTTGGAAATAAAATTGTACTGGTGCACAGCCAGGCCTATTTTTTATGCATGGTCTATGGTTGTTTTTGTACTGCAGTGGCAGAGTTCCATAGTTGCAAAAGGGTCATATATTTGGCAAAACCTCTAATATAAACTGTCTTTATAGAGAAAAACTCTGACAATCCCTGGGATAGAGAAAAAAATATAAACAAAAACAGTAACTGTACATATTGGGTATAATAACTTCCTCCAGAAAAGAGGCTTCATCAGGAGTAGAAGCTTCAAATGCTATCACCAGATAATTAAGTTTACAATAATGTGTGGTACCCTCTAAGATCTACCCATGTTCCATTCCACTCAAATCGGAAAGTTATATAGGAATTTTAGAAAGAATTACTTGCTTATAATATTAATTTGCCAATAATTTTTGCAACTCTATCATGAACATTAGATTACTTAAGTTACCTCTGTGGGCAGGATATAGTGGAAACCTTGGAGTATCACCTGCCTTCCCTCGATTAAGACAGATTCTTTAGAGTTTAAATGTATTTTCTTACCCTGCTCAGCCTTGCAATCCAGAATCCATTCCCCATTTACAACACATTAATATTTTAATTAATATGAAATAGGGAAATTTTTTTCCCTAGAAAACCCTTTCTTTGGTATTTGGCCTTGTAATTATGCCTCACACTTCCACATAAAGCATGCTGGCATTTGAGTTCCATGAGTGCAGAAAAGGGAGGATGTTGGGAGTGCAGAAACAAAAAATTAGCATTTCTTTGTAGACTAAATTCTGAGATTATTACAGGTTTTTCCATTAAGGAACCAACAGAGTCTTTTGGTACTCATAGGATGTAGACTGAGCTTTTTTTCTCTTTTTGCTATTAAAATCCACTAGAATTTGCAAAGACTGGTTTGTTTATAAGGCCTCATGAACTATGTCCAGTGACATATGTTCCTCTGTGATCCTATGAGGCTCAGCGCAATTGGGAGATCAAAATATCCCGAGGCCTCTGCATCCTCCCATATATCCTCAATTAAATTCTCAGAATCTCACAGTGTTTATGACCAGTATTTTTCTGGTAAGGCTGGAAATTCAACATATCAAAGCCAAACTTCAGAATTAGCCATTGCATCTGGTTTGCAGCTACTTTGGCCTGGCTGCAAGAGATTTTTTTAAAGTATATATCACATATGATCCTCTTTTATTGTCTAGCTGTGCCTTGAGCTGAGAATTTAGTAATTTTAGTCTATGTTTTTATGTAAGATACTCCTGGCAGTTCCTAGCCACCTCCTCACCCCACAGTCCAGTTGTCTTCTTTCCAATCATGCTATTGAAGTGTCTACTTGGGAAGAATCCTCAAAACATCATTGTCTTACCCAGTATGCCATAGGCTAAAGAATCTTCACTCTTAAATACTATTACTGCAAGCTTACTGCCTTAATCTCTAACCTTCCAGACACTTAATTCCAGATTCTTTCCTATCTCCTTTTCCTGAAGCATGAGAATAATTCAAGAAGCCTGTTTCTGAACTAGTCAGGGCTATTTGACAAAAATTTACTGTCTTCATCAGGTTATACTAAACCTAAAATAAGCACAGTAGTTTTAAAAAGAGACCTCAAAATACAGCCAAGTAATATTGTCTTAGTAATTTTTACTCAAGAGTCCAGAAGACCATGGGCTGTCTAAAGTTTGTAGGTTGCTCAACTCTATGACTTCAACCAGGCAGCCTAGTTTCTTCCCTTTCATTACCTTGCCATTTGGTGAAGTGTTGCTCATGTTCATTGTACTAAAGTCAACTCCCCCGTACCACATTCATATTGAGCCCTATTATAGTTTGGATCTGGAACGTCCCCTAAAGGCCTGTGTATTACAAGGCTTGTTCACCAAGTCTTGGTACTACCAAGAGGTGATGGAAACTTTAAGAGGCAGGGTCTAAAGGGAGGAAATTAGGTCATTGGGGCATGGCCTTTAAAGGAATGCTGGGACTCTAAACTGTACTTCTTTCTCTCTTTGCTTTTGGGTTGCCATGAAGTAAACGGGCTCCTCTACCATGTGCTCCTGCCATGATGTAGTGTGTCAGCACAGGCCCAAAGCAAGTAACCATGGACTGAAATCTCTGAAACTGTGAGTCAAAATAAACCTGTCCTCTTTAGAAGTTTATTTGTCTCAGGCATTTGTTTCAGTGACAATAAGTTGACTAACACAAACCCATAAAAGGAAGGAAAAGGAAGAGAGGAAGTGCAAGTGAATTCTTGTTGAAGAAGTGATGTGGAAATTATACTCATCACTCTGCTCACATTTTCCTGATGGGATGTTAGTCAATAGCTATGGTTGTCCTCAGGAAACACTGGAAAATTTAGTATTCAGCCCTGTGGCCATTTTCCCAGATGAAGTTTGGTGAAAGTTTCTATTACTAAAAGGTAAATGACTGCTGGAAATAGTGGGGCACACTTATAATTCCAGAACTTGAGAGGCTGAGACAGAAGGACTGCCTTGAGTTCAAGGCCCTGTCTCCAAACAAATTAAATGAGTAAAATAAAAATATCAAACTCTATCTTCACTGTTCCCATCCTTTGTAGCCTGTATCAAAAATTCACATAGCCAGGCATGGTGGCATAGGCCTATAATCCCAGCACATGGGGGGCTGAGACAGGAGGATTGCTATGAGTTTGAGGCCAACATGGACTACATAGTGAGCTCAGTGTCAGCCTGAACTACTAAACAAGACCTTATCTCCAAAAAAAGGAAAAGAAGAAAATAAATATCAAGAAACAATGATCAACCAAAGTAAGTGTGGGTAAGTAGAGAAGAAATTTATTAAAAGATAACCATTAAGTGCCTAGAAACACTAGGAAATTTCGAGAAGGTTTAGCAAATAGGAAAAAAGAGTCTACATAGCTAGAAACCAAAGTGAAAATCAAGCCACAGGAGGCCACTGCTGCTGATCCTCCTGGACATGAGACAACAGAGTCTGCTCACTTGCTACTACTACAAGAGACAGATACACCATGTAATGTCCATGGAGTTCTGCTTCTCAGATCTCCTGCTATAAGGAGCATAGTTCTGGGTAGGTTCCATCTTTGTGGAGGTCACACTTCCACAGGGCTGTTCACAGGAAGAGACTGAGCTTCTTAGAGACACCAGTGCCAGCTTCTGCCTGCTCCATGCAGTATTCCTCTGAAGGGCAACCATGGTCTGTTGAGAAATGGCCTGTTAAGGATGCCTATGTTTTGACCCTTAGAACCTAAACTTACAGATATTACTTTATATGGCACAAGGGACTTCACAGATATGCTCTTGATATGGAGTGTTTTCTTGGACTAGCCTAGTGGACTAGCCTGAGGTCATTGCAGGGTTCCAGTAAGAAGAAAGCCACAGATCAGTGTGCAAAGTAGGACATGTAATGACAGAAGTAGCGGCCAGAGTGACAGTCAGACCAAGGAATACTGGCGGTCTTTATGAAACAGATGAGGAACAACTGCCCTGGAGCACTCAAGACACCTTGATTTCATCACTATCTGATTCACTTCAGAGTTATAATCTCTAGAGCTGTGAAATAATAGATTAATATATTAGCAATTGTTCACCAACAAGCTAATTAATATTTCCATTAACTCACAGAAATATCCTTCTGTGTATGTGTATGTGTATGCATATGTGTGTGTGTGTGTTAAAGAGATGTAGGTTTTAGCAAATTCCAGCTATTTGGAATAATATTGATAATAGTATTTATGTTAGTGTTCATTAGCTATCCAGAGTTTGTTTATCTTGTATGACTAAAACTTTATTTCCCATTGACAAACATCTCCTCTCACCATGCACATGTATATCAAATTAACAAGTTGCACACATTAAAAATATGCAATTTTAAACAATTAGCTGTACTTCAATAAAACATAGGGAGAGAAATCCCAAGTCGTTTGGTAGAGGGGACAGAAAGAGGAGAAGCAGGGAACTAGTAAATTGTATATAAATCATAAGAAAAAAAAATAAGACAATAAATAAGTTATGTTAGTATTAATTAGGAAAAATTGTGTTGTTTTAAGCCACAAAGTTTCCAGTCATTTGTTTCAGTGGCATAAGGAGATAAACACCACAACTTTGGCTTGGAGATGCCACTGGCCAGACCAAGATTTTCTCAGAACTGCATTGCATTCTGAAGCATTTCCCAGCAGTCCTTGCTTCCCTTTCTCCTTTCACAGCTGTCAGACTTGCCTTTCAGTGTAATGCTCCCTCCACCAGCTCCCACTCCCTCCCTCTTTATCCTCCAGAGCCATTTTTCCCTACTAGATCTCTTGCACATTGAATCCTGTTTTGGCGTCTGATCTAACAAATGCTACTCTTTCTCCTGCCCCAGGAAGCTGGAGGTTTTAACTATCTTCCACCCCACCCACCTCACTCCCTAGGATAGA